GATTTCTATGCTGCCTCCCACCCAGTGGTGCAGGGGGATGGAGAATGAGGATTGTGGTCAGCCCATCACACATAGTTTCTGCTGCTCCTTCCTCTTCAGGGGGAGAACTTCTCACAGTCTTCCCCTGCCCCAGCATGATGTCCCTCCCACAGGAGACAGTCCTCCATGAACTTCTTCAATGTGAGTCCTTCCCACAGGCTTCATGCACTGTGGATCCCTTCCATGGGGTGCTGTCCTTCAGAAACAGACTGCTCCAGTGTGGGTCTCCTGTGGGGTCACAATTCCTGCAAGCAAATGTGTTCCAGTGTGGGCTTCTTTCCAAAGGGCCGCAGGTCCTGCCAGGAGCCTGCTCCAGCACAGGCTTCCCATGGGGTCACAGCCTCCTTCAAGCATTCACCTGCTTCAGCGTGGGGTCCTCCATGGGCTGCAGGTGGATCTCTGCTCCACCATGGGCCTCCACGATTGCAGAGTCACAGCCTGTCTCACCATGGTCTTCACCACGGGCTGCAGAGGAATCTCTGCTCTGGCGCTTGGAGCACCTCCTCCCCCTCCTTCACTGACCTTGGTGCCTGCAGAGTTGCTTCTCTCACATATTCTCACTCCTGACTCTGGCTGCAATTCCACAGTTTTGAGTTCCCCCCCCTCCCCTCCCCCTTCTGCAATGTGTTATTGCAGAGGCACTACCACTGTAGTTGATGGACTCGGCCTTGGCCAGTGATGGGTCTGTCCTGGTGCGTGCTGGCATTAGCTCTTTTGGACATGGATGAAACTTTTACAACTTCTCATAGAAGGCACCCCTTCAGCCCCCCTGCTACCAAAATGTTGCCATGCAAACCCAATACAAAGGTTAGGAAAGCGCTATTATGGAGAAGTTGGATGTCAGCTTATGAAAAGCTGCCAGTACGGAACTGCAGCTGGTGGCTCAAGTGTGGACGCATGGTCTAGCTGCTGGGATGGAGATTTTCAAACTAGAACCTGACCAGAATTCTCTTCCCTTTAAAAACAAACCAAAAGTTAACCGTTCTGTCCAAAGGCAGATATACAGATTTGGTTGCTAATCCAGGTAACAACAGAAGCTTTTGCTTTGGAATATTTATTCAGTGAACTACTCTGAGGCACCTCAGAAAGGGGCAGAGGCATATCTGGTTTTTTGTTTAGGTCTTCCTGATGCTTGCTATTTGTCACTCGTTAAAGTGACTGCAGCTGTTTGGTTATGCTATGGAAATACATGCAAACTCCTTATAATTATATGATATATTACTCCTATATATTACTCCTTATAATTATATTATATATTATAATAAAATGTTACTTGTTTTTGGTTCACAGTGTGAGCAATACTAGGTATTCTTGCCATTCCCCGTGAAGGGAAGACATGGTTCCAGCATCTTGCAGTGTCCACCAGGTCAGCTGAATAGCTGAGCTTGAACATTCAAGGGAATTACTGGACTTGCACAGAGCCAAGTAATGATAAGAAAACAAAGGCATTCATTAGTTTGCCAGTTTTCTAGCCTGTTCAGGGTGAGTCTGCCTGTTTCAGCTTTACTGGTCACCTCTTCCTTGCCTTGAAAGAAGGTGTCATGTGGCATCTTTCAGCTGGTCCAGTCACGCAGTTCTGACCTAGGCTGTGATTGGTTGCTGTGCTTTACAGAAAAGCAGTCACCAGCTATACCTGTGCACTGTGCTCTTGCTCATAAGGAAAAGATTTTCTTCCCTAAACAACTTGCTACCCTTATCTTTAGCTGTAGACCGAAGTTCCTGGCAAGTCTGTGAAGTAGTAAGTGTATAGTGATCTCCATCAGCAGTGAGCTGTGATACTATAGAAATACATATATGTGCAGTTTTTTTCTGAAGTTACATAAATAACTTACATAAACATTAGAATGTGTTACGGTGGAAGCATGTGATGATGAACTACTGAATTCTTAAGAGCAGGGTTTACATGTAATTGTGCAGAGTGAATATGGCTCTGGGGTATTTCCATTATTTCTTTAAGCATATACTTAGTAGCTTGAGCACCTTAATCCTTCATGCAGGACGTACGTTTGAGTGCTCCTTAAACACAATTCACTGGTGCTGACTCCACTCCTTTGGCTGATTCACTTTCCCAGTCTGTCCGGAGCTGGGGCTGTGTTTCTGGACACAGATACCTCCAGGCAGTTGTCTGGGGATGCCTGTGTTCAGAGTGCAGTGGGGTTTGCACAGACTGGACTCATGGAAGGCGCTGGTAAGGAGCCTGGGGTTTCCCTGCAGTCAGCTAATTGTTCTGTGAGGATCTAGCACTGAGCTCCTCAAATCAGGGTGTGGTTTTCTTAGGCAGGAAGTAAGTGTTAATTAACTCTTACTTTCATTACTCCAGGGATCTCTTTGTAGAATTTCCCACACTGTGAGCTGATGGTGTCTTGAAATATGCTTGTTCTTGTGTCTTAATTTAATTTTATGAACTTCTCTGCTACTGCAGAGAATGTTAATGTATGTACTCATGGCCTTTTTAAATCAAAACTGAACTGTGAAAGTCTTTGTTTATACTTCCTTAAAACATTGCATTGTAGGCCCTTTGGAGATAATACTGATCCTCCTTTGATGTTCCTAGTTTCCTTTTCATTGTGTGGTATAGTTGAGAAGGACTTGATTCAGCGTTTAGGAGGAAAAATTTGACCAGACAGTAGGTCAACATAAAGGAGCAGCAGGAAAGAAGCTCCTGTCCTGAACACGTGCCAGGCATGGGAGTGTGCCTGTGCTGCGGTGACAGGATGTGCTCCTTGCGTGTAGTCCTTGCTGGTTGTTCCTCTGCACGGTGCTTTGCCTCAAACTCCAGTGATGTGCAGTGGCTGCTGGGGCTGGCTGCTCTGAGAAGCCATTGGCAAGAGGCAGCTGTGCTACCTGGCCCCCTAAAATAGGTGAAGGCTGCCCCGTCTGCTCCTGAGCATGTGAGAAGCTGACTGCAGCCAGGGCACTCCTGGACAGAGGTGGCAGCTCAGATCTTCATGGATTTAGGCATTAAAGGTCTGTTTGTGATGCTTTAATCCGTGCAGGTCTCATGTTGAGCGTTCCCTCCCTCTCAAGGTCAGTTCCCTTGTGAGGATCTAGCAGTGATTAGCAGCAGAAAGCTCCTGTCTGTCAAGCTGAATATTCAACGTGTTACCATACTCTGATGTCTTTTTTCTCTTTTTACAGGCAGTAAATGAGCTTTTTGTAATGTACAAAGTAGTACAGGAAAGTACGAAAGAGAACTCGTGCCAGTTCTTTCTCTTTGCTTACTCTGTCTCTTGTCTCAGAATGGCTAAGAGGTCTCAGCCTTCTGTCTGGGAGCAGAAAGGCAATGGCAAGTTTGCAGGAGTTAAGTAAGCAAGCTCAAGAAGTACACTTGAAATGTTAAGAAAGCAGTTCTAGGCCCAGCAAAATACAGGATGATGGTTTTTCCCGTTAGTACAACAGCTTTATTTACAAGCTCTGAGATTTTAAATATTACAGATCATAAGGTGATTTGACTGCAGGGCATCTGAGGCCAGAAATCTGTACCAGATTCAGCCACACCAGCAATGCTGAATATTGAATTAAATGCAAATTTGAAAAGAGATATGATGTGGAGGAACGTTATGCTGGCAACCGCAGGTGAAAGGAAACTAGGACAGTGTGAGATGATGTCTGATTTGTCCCTGTTATTTGGGCAAAGGCAGAGGGAAGGAAACAGTAGTGGCTTGTGGAAGAGGAATGTTATTTAAACAAAATATGCACACCTCCCATGGATAATTCTGTTTCAGTTCCCTGTCAGACAAATGGGAGTGAGTCACCCAGGCAGCAGAATAGTCTGTCTGTATTATTTAAGACTGCAGAATGTCCTTTCAGATAAAAGTAAAACATGTTTTTTTCCTTTTTTTCCGTCAGGAAAGAGACTACAAGAATGGATCTCTGTCATCTTATGCTTCTCTCTGATCGGTTTCAATTTTTACAATCTTCTTTTCTACTTGCGACTGGAACACACGCCCTCCGTTATTGTTGGGATATGTAAGTAGGAACTGCTCACTGTCATGAGCGAGGCAAGACTGTCTGTTGTAATGCTGGGGACAAATGTGTGATCTTTTAGGCTTGACTTACTACTGGAAAGGGCAAAAAACATCTGCGCATGTGCAATTGTAGTGCCTCTGAAACTGAGACAGTCTGCAAAAGTTTACTGCCTTCTGTCTTTCATTTCAGTGGCTTCTCAGTATCTCAAAGGTGAAGTTTTTAACACAGCTATTTAAGTTTGGTGTTCTTACAGGTCTTCTTAAGATTGGTGTTTAATAGACTCATAGAATGGTTTGGGTTCATGTAAGTACTATTGAGTACACAGTAGTGTGAGTACTATTGAGAGGGAAAACAGCTGTCCAAACTATCAGAGTTGAAAACAAAATACATTGATTGCCAAAAATATTTACACTAACTTTTCAGAAAGCAAAAGACCAAGAGAAGCCTTATAAAAGGTGTTTCAGGCATCAAACTGGCTTGATGTCTGACAACTGATAACTAAAAAATAGTCTTTCGGAGTATTATGCTTTCATGCCAGGATGTGATGTTTGGCCTTTATCCTGAATGATGACTTTTTTCCAACAATATAAGAAGATGCATAGAGGTGTTTATATCAGCTGGCTCTTGGTAGTACAGAGTGAACTGGTCTAGATGCAGTGTGAGCTGATGATTTCAGCTTTCAGTGAAGGAGAGGAAGAACCAGTAGAGGATTCTGGTTTGATGCTGTGTATCTTTACTGATAGAATCAGGAATTGCATGGAATTAGCCAAAGAAAAAACTTGTCTCGGAATAAGGTGGGTGTGAAAAAGGATTCCTCAGCTTTCCTTACATCATTCAAAGCCTAAACCTGCATACAACTTGAACATTGCTTAACACTTGGAGCAAAAAGTCTCAATGTTTGCATAAACTTTGTGTTATTAGAATAGTGCTGAAATGCTGTGCACAGAAACCTTCCTGAGAAGAGGCAGAAGAGAGGGCAGTGGAGCAGGTTGGGCTGAAGGAAGTGATGTTCTGTGGCTGACTTTGTTGGCATTATCCAGGCAGCGCACGTTACTGCTGGCTGTGTGGCCATATATGTATGGGAGGGGACGTGGGAAATGGAGAGAACGTTAAAATCAGAAGAATCAGCTCTACATTGCATACCTCGTGTAGCTTTCCGATAAACATCTAATATGAGATGAGGGAGGGAAGTGAATAGGAACCAAGCATTTCACCAGTCTTCTACTGTGCATGCAATGAAAACTGAAAGCAATATAAACTTCTTGGGTTGGGTGTGTATAAGTGTTTACATATTTTTATATGAATTGCCTTGTTAACTGAAAGAAGAACAAATGGTGTTATTCATTAGGACACCATATAAGCTAGCTACAGGTGTTCAGCTTCTGTGCTTTACAATAGAAGTAACTTTTCTATAAACTGTATGAGGTGGTGTATGTTTTAGAAGAGAATGGTACTTGTTCATAATCACTGTTGTATATTGCTAATGATAAAAAACAAAACAACAAAAAAACCCAAACAAAAGACACAACAGCAGATTCAAACAGTGATATGTGATAGATACTATGAGTTTTTGCCCAGGCTGAGAAGTGGTAATTGCTCATGCCTGTTTAAGGGTTATTTGCTTTGTGCTGGGACTATGAGGGAGCAGTGTCCTCCCACTGTGAATCATGCCAGCTCACCTGGCCTAAGTAAGTCTTGCCTGCTCTGTGCTGATGAGGTGGAGGTATTGGGAGGAATGGAGAAGAATGTGGCATGGGAACCGCTCCATAATGATGTGGGCAGATGCAGACAAGAGAATTGGTAGTGATGGTTAACCTTTAGTGTGATCTGTTTGCAACTGGCTTTCATCTCAAAGTTAATGTTGATAAAAGCTTGAGTTCTCTGATATCCTGGTTACCAGTTTAACTGATAAAGCAGCCAATTCACTGATAATATTATTTAAGTAGTAGCGAATGATTGAAGTAGCAGAATCTGGATTCTGTGTAGATAAAGTAGTGTGGACATAACTGATAGCGTGTACAAAAATGAGTGCAATAAAATAATAAGTGCGGCATGCTATCTTGTTTTGCTGTCTTCCTCCAATACATTATTTGTCTAGGTGAATTGTGAATGATGTCTATAATTCATAGTGACGATTAGGTTTTATTAAGTTTTGAGAATGTCCTAATTCCTAAATACTACATGAAGCACAACAGGTAAGATAGGGAATACCGAGTCACAGCCGTTGTCAGATGTGTTCCCATTGAAAGCTTTCCTGAAGCTCAGATAAGAATATTGACCTTGGAGTTGAGATCACAAAGTAAACATTCTGCTAATAAAGACATAGCTCTCGATCAGGTTCACATTAGGTCTTTGGAAATCTGAACGCCATCAGTGATCCAGTGGGCTGGATCAGATCTGCTGTGCAGACCAGTTCATTGAGCTGCCTTGCTGAGACCCCTGTGTACTCTTATGTAAATACAGAGGGAGTAGTCTGAACCTTCCGCGTGACTTCATCTAGCCAAAACCCTGTATCTATAATTAAAGGCTATGTTATATCTTCTCTTTTCATGCCTTTAAAGGCATGTATAATTTTAACTTGGGTAATACTGTAAATACCTTAATCTAGAAATTCTTGGGTCAGAATAGATCTGATCCTCCTCTTACTGGCAGCCTGAAAGTACTTACTTCCTTGTGTGATGTGAGCAGGCAGCTAAGAAATTAATTCATGTGTCACACTGTCATTTGCTGTGCTGAATCACCTACGGGTACTCGCGCTGTGGGGTGAGGCGAGAGTTTTATGGCTTGGAGAACTTTGTGTTTTAGAGTAACTTGTGAATTGGGTTGTTTTCCACTGACTAAAGATGATCTTGCCGGAAAGGAAGAGGCATGCGAGTCTCTTATCTCTGCTAAACCAGCCCGGAAGTCAATTCCCTTCCCCTTCTCACTGCCCAAAAATTAAAATAGAGACAGAGAGAGAGAGTGGGAAGAGGGTGGATTTATTTTGCTGTTGTTCCAGTGTTAAATCCCGTCATGCTCTATTCTGAATATCTTCAGCTGCTGAGGAGTTACAAAAAATTTCCCCTATGTGCATCCTGACAAGTGTGTAGATTTGGATTTGGTATTTTATTTGCACGCACACATGTGCATGATTAAGCCCAGGGCAGCCGTGGTTTGGAAGGCTGGGTATGGTGCAAGTTTACTAACCCCATTTTTTCAGCTGCAGCTGAAGGGTCCCACTGCAGTGGGGCACCATGCTAGCTCTGTAGTACTGGGGACAAGGCTGGTGTCGGCAGTGTGATAAGCAGAAAAGCCTCACCAAAACATGTAAGATTTGGCTTGAAAGCACTTGCACCTTCAGGTGAGGTAGTGGTGTCCAGCATATTATTCTGTATACATGAGTTGTGTATATAGGTGGTATATAAATAGCATCTAGATAAAAAGTTTGGCAAGTTACATAATGGCTTCTGGTTTTCATTTTTCCTTCCTTCCTCATGTCTTCTTATAGGGTTTTAAAGCCTTTTTTTCTAAATCAGTTTTACATGTTTCTGACTTCTGACTTTGTTCTGCAGCCATGTTTGTGAGTAATATATACTGTTTGTTGCAGTCTTTAAAAAGTGAGTTAAGTTTGTGTTGTAACCTGGTGGTATTCGTAAGAACTGCCCCCTGTAGGGCAGATGTCTTTAGAAACATCTTGTGATGCACCACAAGATAAAATTAATCATTGCTGACTTGAGAGATGGGGAACTGATGTTTTAAAACCCATTTGAGTACGTGTTTCATTATTGCAGATGTTGTGGGTTGGCTGGACAGAGCACACAGAAGGAAATTGCTTAATTCACTTTCAAAATAGAAACTTGTTCTGATCAAGGCTCAAAACCTTTTTGTTTCAACCTTGAGTAGCATTGTGGAGCTGCGCGTGGTTAGCTGCACTGCAGAGCCAAATGTTGAGGGTGTAATACATGAGAGCTTTTGCACACTTTGGAGTGAAAGCACTCTAGAGACCATCAGTGCTTTATGAAATGGACACTGTGCTTGTGGATCAGCTGCTTCAGAGTCCTGCTGCCTTGCAGCGAGAGACAGAACCGTAATGGTGGTGCTTCACTTTGGATCTGCTTTGTTCGTTAAAATGAGTTTCCACTTGAAATTTTAATTTAAAAGGTCCTTTAAATTGCATCAGGGAAACTTCACTTAACAAAGGAAAATTATCCTTTACTTCAGTGTTGGTCTGAATAGGCCAAATCTTTGTCACCTGCTGCTTCACCCCACCTGAAGTAACTTTCAGCTACTTCATGGCTGTAGGTAACTTTGTGTTTTCCCTCCTAAACTGCATCATCTCTTAAAGATGGATACTTCACAAGCTGTGATTAAATAGGCAAAACTTGGATTCTACATTTTGTTGCACTTTGTATTGCAAAAATAAAATTGCATTGCACCAACACAATTTGTATTCTATTTTCTTCTACTGATCCATTTTGTAGCAGGTAACTTTTTGTGTGGTAACTCAGGAGCTCTGGGCCTTTCCTGCACCAAAGGATCCTGGAGGCTGTTGGTCCTGAAAGGGGCATTATGGAGCAGAGCTGTTGGTTTGCACTGGGGCAGGTGATGTTGACACCAGTTGTCTGTTCTTTATGGATTAGGGGATGAACATCTCAAGCCTGCTAGCAGCTGTTCTTGGGCAGAGTGGGTGAAGGCTGTACCCTGGTGGTACAGGGACTGCTCACCCTGGCAGCTGGGAGAAGCTGATAGCACGGCCTGGTCTGTGCCCTCCCACTTGTGTGCATAGCAGACCTGCTATTGCTCTTTATGTCAGCAGTGAGGACCGGGACAAAGAAAGCTCTGTGTGCTTGCAGAGTTGTCAGGGGCTCTCTTAAAGTCACAGGGAACTTTGGCTCAAGGATTTAAGAACTATAGGTCTTGGTCGCCCTGGTTCACTCAGAATAGTGCCTCTTGCACCTCAGCACACGAACATGTGTTGGAGTGTTGCCCTGATGGGGTGAGTTATAGTGAGTGGTGACAGA